CCATGAAAGAGACACCCCTTGGACTTGGGGGTGCTTGCCGTGGCCACGGTCTTTGGGTAGTGGGACAGGAAAGGGTTCTGTGGCTGTGAACAAAGCTTCAAGGACTGAGGCAAACAGATCACAAAGCAGGACTAGCTCTGAGCAGCTGGAACCAAGCCTGCACAATCCCCTTCACCGCATCACCTTTGTGGCCAAGAAAGGCAAAGGTGGTACAAGCAGGCAATTGAGGGATGCCCATGGAAAGCAGCACAGAATACGTGGCAGACTCCCCTGGAACAGTGCATTCGTTTTTACCCCAGGACCTTTCCCTAACTCTACGTAATAAAAGATATATTACTGACATCACCAAGATAGAAAAAGGGAGAAAAAGCAATGCCTTATTTCTTTCTTATCAGTTGGGCAAATGATAATTCCCACTGCCCAACATGATTAGGCTCAAATTGGAGTAGCATCATAAATCTATAGTCATAAATCTGTGACCAAACTGAGACCGATAGAGCAAGAGCATCTTTCTAATCCAGGCTACAAAACCAGACAATGGCATGGGATGAGAGATGCTTTTATTCTTCACCCAGTAAAACAAGCAAGTGGAAGATTATTAGATGGGTAAACCAGCAGCTTTTCTGGGCCAGATACCAGGTAATCCCTGAAATGTGTCCAGTGTACCTGTCAGTGGAGCAGAACTGGGCAGTTTGGGTTCTCTTAAGTGGATAACGTATTCACCAAAAAATGCAGTTTAGGGTTAGATTAACTGAAACCAGTTATCAGATTAAGGAAAAAAAGGCAAAGGCAAAAAGACTATTAAAACATTTTCTTTCAGTATTTTCAAAACAGAAGGATTCACATTTTTGCTTCAAAGCAACTTGTTATAGCCCAAGTCATAATGGTTTTAAAAAAGTGAAAAAGCAACCCTACAAATGAATGCTTCATTTTGGTTTGGAAGGATTTTTTTTTATGTTTCAGTTTTTCCCTTTTTCATTCCATTGGTGGGGGGGAGGGGGGAAGAAATTGTCTCAGGTCACCCTTAGAACTTTTTTCCCCCAGATTTTTCAGTTCAGCCCGCAAACTGAAAAACCACTGTGGGCACAGCCTACTTGGGAGCTTCCTGTCCCTCTTTCTATTTTAATCAGTCCTAAGCCAAAGAAAATGGGAAGTTCATTTCACCAGGTAATACCGACCAGAATCAAGCTATTTAGCAGATGTAAAAATACTGAAAATGGGAGGAGTTGTGGCTGTTTACAACGGGCTGAACATGACCCAGGAGGTAAGAGATCTCCTAGCTCCAAAATACATTGTCACCTACAAGCTTCTTGCTATGCCATCCTACTCTCATATAAGGCAATTTATAAACTGTGGGTCCGATCCTGCGTTTGACTGAGATGTGCTGACACCACTAGTTTGTGAGCAATGCAAGATCCAGGTAACCCACCCCACCTGCTCTAAGGAAGGGGATTTGGGGACTGGGATTTTTGGATTGGGGGGAAGCAAATGGAGAGACACGCAACATCCTCCCCACTAGCAACAGTTGAGCATCACTCACCTAACCTGAAAACAACATCCCTTTTTTGCAGAGCGTTACTACTTCTGCAGGGACAATACAGTACTGGATAGTTGCTTTGCAAGCTCAATAAAATGAAAAGTCCTTACGAGGATCTTTGTTGGGACAGTCATCCGGTTCAAACACAGCAGAAGACAACAACAACAGCAAAAAAACCCACAATAAATTAGGTATCAGCACAGCTTTCTAAATGCTCTAGAACAATTACTTGCAAGACAAAAAAAATCACAGCTCTGGTACTTAGAGTCTTGTCATTAAAAAAAAAATCCACAGGTTTTGCATAAAAATAAACATTTTAAGCTGACAGCATTATGCTAATTGGATCAACCCGTTTTTCAATATATATATTTCTATGTATATTTAAATGTATATTTTTTATGAATATTCTTTAAAGGAGTAATGGGAGTCACAAAAGCATAAAAATAGATATTTTGGAAAAAGAGTAATAAAGACAATCCTGGTGTATGTTTCAGTTTTTCCCTTTTTCATTCCATTGGTGGGGGGGAGGGGGGAAGAAATTGTCTCAGGTCACCCTTAGAACTTTTTTCCCCCAGATTTTTCAGTTCAGCCCGCAAACTGAAAAACCACTGTGGGCACAGCCTACTTGGGAGCTTCCTGTCCCTCTTTCTATTTTAATCAGTCCTAAGCCAAAGAAAATGGGAAGTTCATTTCACCAGGTAATACCGACCAGAATCAAGCTATTTAGCAGATGTAAAAATACTGAAAATGGGAGGAGTTGTGGCTGTTTACAACGGGCTGAACATGACCCAGGAGGTAAGAGATCTCCTAGCTCCAAAATACATTGTCACCTACAAGCTTCTTGCTATGCCATCCTACTCTCATATAAGGCAATTTATAAACTGTGGGTCCGATCCTGCGTTTGACTGAGATGTGCTGACACCACTAGTTTGTGAGCAATGCAAGATCCAGGTAACCCACCCCACCTGCTCTAAGGAAGGGGATTTGGGGACTGGGATTTTTGGATTGGGGGGAAGCAAATGGAGAGACACGCAACATCCTCCCCACTAGCAACAGTTGAGCATCACTCACCTAACCTGAAAACAACATCCCTTTTTTGCAGAGCATTACTACTTCTGCAGGGACAATACAGTACTGGATAGTTGCTTTGCAAGCTCAATAAAATGAAAAGTCCTTACGAGGATCTTTGTTGGGACAGTCATCCGGTTCAAACACAGCAGAAGACAACAACAACAGCAAAAAAACCCACAATAAATTAGGTATCAGCACAGCTTTCTAAATGCTCTAGAACAATTACTTGCAAGACAAAAAAAATCACAGCTCTGGTACTTAGAGTCTTGTCATTAAAAAAAAAATCCACAGGTTTTGCATAAAAATAAACATTTTAAGCTGACAGCATTATGCTAATTGGATCAACCCGCTTTTCAATATATATATTTCTATGTATATTTAAATGTATATTTTTTATGAATATTCTTTAAAGGAGTAATGGGAGTCACAAAAGCATAAAAATAGATATTTTGGAAAAAGAGTAATAAAGACAATCCTGGTGAAAAAGAAAAAAAAAAAATCAAACAGGGAAGTATTCTAAAGCAACGGCTCACCACACTGTAACTTGCGGAGTCCAGTCCTTCTGTATTGTGAGCAGTTACTCCTATTGGGTTTTGTAACAGTGATGTAAAATATAAATTCCTGCACACTTATTTAAAAAAAAAAAAAAGAAAATAAAAAGGAGAAGGGATTTGGGTATATAGGACAGATTTTGATGCCTGTTACATTGCTGTAAATAACTAGCACAGATCACCTCCCAAGATGGAAGCAGTAGGAACTCCAGCAATTCTTGCATTTATAAGAGTATATTTTCTGTCCCTCTGAACTAAATTTAAAAAAAAAAAATCCACTTTTGTCCTACAATGTTTTTTCTGTTGTCCTACACATAACAAAAACAGATTGGAAAAGGTGGGATTTTCAGTAGTGTGTGTCAGCATTCTGTGCATCTTTGAAAAAAGCCAGCTCCTAACAGTTAGGAAGATTATTTCAGAGAGTGATCCTGTCCCTTTACAGCAGGAGGTAACCTCACTGTTAAAAATCCCTTCAAGGCAAAAAGATCATGGCGGGGGGGAGGCCATAAATTATAACAGCCCAACCTGCCTGCCAGCTGCATCAGTATTCAAGTAGATTTTAAAGTACCTTTGTGGGACTTCAGAGTCTTGGAGGGTCAGGCTGGCTTATTTTAACAAGTGTAATACGCACTTTGAAACAGCCTTGTCATCTGCTTGTTTAAACTACAAAACAAAACTCAAAAACAAACGGGAGCAAAGGAAAGGTATAGGAAAGGTCTCAGCATCAGTATTAGACTGCAGAGTGTCTTCTTGACACTGACACTTTGATATTCTTGCCTTCCTTTCTAATGCATTAAAATATCATGAAGTCATGCAGCCATTTTAAATGAGTATTTCAAGAGTCCAGTTTTCACAGAGGTTAACTTCATCACCAGCACAGCACTGGAGAAAGCTGATCTAACAACATCTCACTTACAGAACTCTTCAAAGGAAAACAAGGAATACAATTCCACAAATAACAATGCCAATTAAAAACACAGAAAGCAATTTGGTTTTTTCTTGGTGTTTTTTCTTAGACATTCTTTCAGAAAAATATCTTTCTTCCCTTATCTCTTTCTTTAAAAGCAGGTTTTCTAACCAGCCAAATTTCAGAGCTATCTCCCATCTACATGAATCTAAGCATTTCTGAAACCGCCTACAGGGTTTTAGGGGCAGAGGATTCCTTCTCCTAAATTTCAGAGCCATCTAAATGGCATCCGCTTGTTTTGTCTTGATTCTGCTCTTGAATTTGTCCATTCCCCTGAGCATTTCACAGGCCAATACTACTGTGAGAATTTAGGTGTCTGCATTTGACAGAACTTTGGACCGAGCACAGCTTCACGCATTTAATCCTCTCCATGCCCTTTCCATGTAGTTTCTTCTGTCTTTACATGTACAAAATCACAGTTTGTGTAACATTGTTTTAAAGGAGGAAAATAAAATACACACACGCACACACACATACATTGTATTGGTGAACACTATACACTAAATATTTTTTTTCAACAGCATAACAGAAAGTTTGGCCTACTGTAGGTTGAACGTGT